GCAATAATTAACAAGATAAAAGGTGGAGCTGAGAGCCAGAGAAAAATGTTGCCTTTTAAAAAAATAATGTGAAAAGGAAAAATTACAAAAAAAATGGGAAGACAGAAGCAGGGAGAGACAAAAACAGATAGAAGGCTGGGGGTATGGGGGGGAGCTTCCTACCGCTAGCTCGTTTGCTGGAGGCTGAATTATCAGTAGAAAATCTTCATTCCCTGCAATACCTAGTTCGCTGGAGCCATATGGAACCTTCTTCTGAAGGCCTCTATTATTATTATTATTATTATTATTATTGATTGATTGACCAGAGAGAGACAGAATGAGAGAGGGAAAGTGAGAAAGCAAGTTACCAGGTCCAGGACGCAAACCATGGTTGGCCATGTGGGATTCCAGCAGTCCAACCACCAGCTTCTGGCTCCTATTGTGATCATTTCTAGCTAGTACCCTATGAGAAATAATTCACTGAGCTTTTTGTTTTGTAATATTAAAATCTATTTGTCTCCTTGCATTTTGAATAGATTTATTACTGTGATTCTGTAATATCATTCTCGGTTTAGGAAAAAGAACACAACTTCTTTAGACGGAGACCCTTAAATGTTATAACCATGGACCAGGATTTCTGACAATCAAATCTGAAGTTTAAACCTTAATGTGGATTAATTACAATGCAAGCTAAATTGCAACTCAGCAGGGTCTTTTATGCTCATTTAAGGGCATTGACTAGGAAGAAGAGAGACTCTGAAAATTAAGATGAAGACAAAAGGATGGCATAATAGTTATGTCACTGGACTTCCACATGGCCATCCAATGTTCGAGTTCTAGACCTGGTGGCTTAAAATTCACACTGAACACATGTGCATATGTGCCCAAAATCCTAAGAAGAGAAGGCAGGAGACAAGGCTGCAGTGTGGCCATCCCCCCAGAGGGTGATTTCTTACTTTCTGTCTCTGTGTCTTTCTGTCTCTCCAATGAGCACATGTGCCCTATAGCAAAAATCTCTCTTAAAAACAACAACAAAAAGGGACCAGCAGTTAGTGTAATGGCTGTCGCTGGACTCCCACGTAGTCAACCGCGATTCGCGTCCCGGACCCGGTGGCTTAAAACTCACGCCAGGCACGTGTGCATGCGTGCCCAAGATCCCGAGAGGAGAATGGAGGAGAAGGGATTGCGGCGTGGCCATCCCCTCTGGGGGATGATTTCTCACTTTCTGTCTCTCCTTCTCTCTCTGTCTGTCTGGTGAGCGCACATACCCTATAGCAAAAGAAAACCTCTCCAAAAAAACAAAACAAAACAAAACAAAACAAAAAGGAATAACATTGTCTCTAAGTGTTTGTAGATACCTTTGATTAAGTTAGGGAATTTTTTGTAATGTCCTGTTTTTTCTTCTGTATCTGTCAAGAATATTTTGTGATTTTTTCTTCTTTTATCTGTGAAGTGCAATGAATTCCAATTTATAAATTTCTTTCTTTCCCTCTTATATTCTTTCCTTAAATAAACTCAAATTGGTCTTGATGAATTTTTTTTGGAAAAAAAAAGTAGGTCTTTCTGTCTCTGTCTCTCTCGCTCCCTCTCCATTTCTCTCAAAAGTTTTCTTTTATAAATATGTTTTTTTTCCAAAAAAAATCTGTGGATACTGTCTCTTATCTCTGACATCTCCTTTCTCTTGCTAATTTCAGAATCTATGTGCATCTGAGTTGGGCTAACCCTGCTCCTTTCACACAATGTCCTAATGTGCCACACAGTTCTCATTTTTTTAACCTTTTTAAAAATATTTTTACCCTGGGAACCAGCAGTTAGCGTAATGGCTATGTCGCTGGACTCCCACGTAGTCGACCGCGGTTCGCGTCCCAGACCCGGTGGCTTAAAACTCACGCTGGGCGCATGTGCGTATGTGCCCAAGATCCCAAGAGGAGAATGGAGGAGAAGGGGTTGTGGCATGACCATCCCCCCTGGAGGGTGATTTCTCGCTTTCTGTCTCTATGTCTCTCTCTGTCTGGCGAGCGCACGCACCCTATAGTGAAAAAACCTCTCCAAAAAAAAATATTTTTACCCTTTTCATTGTGTTATTTTTGTCTTTTTATTTTTTATTCTTTTGTCTTTTTCCCTTTGTTTCCTTTCTTTTACATGACTGTCTCAGCTTATTTCTCACCTCCCACACATTGAGTGTCTAGGCAGGTCTAGGTACACAGTAGTAAAACATCTTTATAACCCACAGCTCAGGCCTGGTGCACCTATTCTCTTGAAACTGTGAGGCCTAGTATCCAGTTCCATGGATAAAAGTGCAGGTTCCCTGGTGAAAATCAGGGAAACCGAACTGCAGAAATATTGCAGGCCATCTCCTTCCCCACACCTCTAACACTCAGAATTAACTCTAAGAAGGTAGTAAATCACGCATAATCCATCAGATGACCAGAAACCACCACCACAGCAGCACAAGACATATGGAAAATCAAGAAAATATCTCTCTCCCAAGGGGAAAGACAGTATCATCTACAGACAGCATAATGGAGTTTGTGGAAATGTCAGATAAAAAATTCAGGATATTCACAGTGACAAAGCTAACAGAGATGGAAGAGAAGAGAGTCAAAGAACTCCAGAAAATGTAGGAGAAAAGAGATGAGTTCTAGGAGGTGAAGAAGTTCTTCCATGATCTGAAACAGAAAATACAATGAAAAAGAATCAAATTGAACTATTAGAGATGAAGGCTGTAATACAGGAAATCAAAACCTCCCTTGAAAGTATTAAAAACAGATTAGGTCATGCAGAAGATCAAGTCTCAGATGCAGAAGACAGAACCTCTGACTTAGAAAAATGCACCAAAAAGACTGAGAAAATAACCTCCCAAAATGAGAATAATATACAAGTAATACTAGATAACATTAGACAACCAAACATATGAATAATCGGTATCCCAGAAGGTGAAGAAACTAGTTAGGGCACTGATAATCTATTCTAAAGAAAATTTCTAAAATTTCTATTCTAAAGAAAAAGAAAAATTTTCAAACCTAGAGAGGCACTGAAATATCCAGACTCAAAGAAATACAAAGGACCCCACATAAAATCAGCCTAAGAAGATCTTCTCCAAGGCATGTCATAGCCAGATTAACCCAAACCACAGATAGAAATAAAATACTAAAATTGACAAAAGAAAAATGTCAAGTTACTTTCAAAGGATATCCCATCAGGCTAACATCGGACCTCTTGTTGGAAACAATGTGAGCAAGGAAAAATGGAAAACTATATTCGAAGTGTTAATTGAAAAGCAATTTCACCCCAAAATACTTTATTTGGCAAGATTATCCTTCATATGGGAAGAAAAGATAAAAACATTCTCCGATAAACAAAACCTGAAAGAATTTATCAACACCAGACCAGCACTTCAAGAAGTTCTAAAGAGAGTACTATATTAGGAAAGCTAAGACAGACAAATAAGAGAACAAAAAATGACCAAGAAAAATGGTAGGGACAAGTTCTGAAATATCAATAGTAATATTGACTGTTAACGGAAAGATCAGACCACAGTAACATTGCAAATTCACCAAAAGAGAGGTTACATGAGACTGAACTGATGAAATAGAATTCTATGACTTTTTTTTCAACATTACTGATTTTTGTCTATGTTTTGTCTTCCAGATTTAAGAATTTTTGTTTTCTTTTGAGTTGTTGGGCTCAGCAATTTGTTAAAAAAAGAGAATTTTTAAAATTTAAAGAAACTTTTCTCTCTTCCTGACCCCTTTGCAATTGCAAAATATTTGTGAGCATTCTTATTTTGTGGCTGAATGGTTATTTGCTTAAGTTCAATAATACACTAGTATCTGTTGTCGTATATCAGAAATTGAATTCTTAGGGGGCTTTGTGCAAATAACAGACCAAATTAAGATTACCTATTTTTTTTTTTTGCAAATAAGTAAGTTTGTACTTCTTTTTAGTAAAAGGGGGGATGAAGAGAGACAAAAAAAAGTTTCAGAAGGAAATTAGTGTGCACTTGTCACTAGATTTTAGCTTTTTCCATACCTTAAGATCTTTTGTGAATCAATAAAATGTGAGAAAAAATAACACGTTTAATATGGAAGGGAGGGAGGGGAAAATGAAAGGAAAAAAATGGGTAAAAGTATGCTTAACTGACAAAAAATGAGAAGCTATTTCCTGATGATAATGTATATAGTAATAGCCTTGTCTTGACAGACATGCATGGTATTTGCGCTGTAAAAAGAAGTGTATACTGTAAAAACATGTGATAAAATGTAAAAATAAACATGTAAGTAAATAAATTTCAAAAATAAATAAAAGAGACATGATACAAAACAAAAACAAAAAGCAAAAAGAGCAAAATAAGCATTCTCAGGCCGGCTAGGTGGTTAGCGTGCTGGATCCCACATAGCTGACTCCTGGACCTGGGACTTTGAAAAATACGCAAGATGCATGTGTGCGTGTGCCTAAAACCCCCAGAGGAGAGTGGAGGACAAAAGACTGTGGTGTTGCTATATCTTTGGGGGCCCGCCTCTTTTCCACGAGTATATGTGCCCCCATAACAAAAACTTAAAAAAAAAAAAAAAATTGGTTCCTATTAATTACCTCTGAATGGTAGATATCTGGGTATTTTCTATTTCTCTTTATTACTTTCTATACAGTTAATTTTGCTTTAAAGCCTTAGGGAGAGGGACTGTGGGTCAGCACAATCCCTTCTCCTCCATTCTCCTCTCGGGATCTTGGGCACGCACACACACGCGCCCGGCGTGAGTTTTAAGCCACCGGGTCCGGGATGCAAACTGCGGCCGACTACGTGGGAGTCCAGCGACATAGCCACTACGCCAACTGCTGGTTCCCATGAGTATTCTTTTCAGATGATGCTAGTTTAGATTGAAGTTAGTTTAGATGAGGACTGTTTTTGACATTCAGGAGTTCAGGAAAGTACTCATCCCAGTTCAGCCCCTGCCCACTAGGGGGTGCAGCGTCCTAATTTAAATACATTTTCTGTGTGAACTGTAGGTTTAGATTTATCATTGCACGGTGACTTCAACATTTCTTCATGTTAAACACCAAGAACATTATTTAGGTGACACTATGAAGATGAATGCTTCTCCAAGCTTAGTGACCGTGGTACTCCTAATGCTTGGTAAGTAATATGGCTCTTAAAACTTGGACTCTGTTTTCTCCCATGTCAGCAAACTCTTTAACCATAATTGTATTTAAACGCTTCGTGCCTAAAATGACACATATTTCTTTTCCAACCAGGGGTGAGAGGGTTCCAGGTGGAGCAGAGTCCTTCAGTCCTGAGACTCCAAGAAGGAACTGATTCTACTCTGAGGTGTAATTTTTCTGCCACTATAAGGAATATGCAGTGGTTCCGACAGATTCCTGGGAGCAGCCTCATCAGTCTATTTTTCATGACTTCAGGGATAAAGCAGAATGGAAGGTTAGAGGCAACAGTTAACTCTAAGGACCGCTATAGCACCCTTCACATCACGGCCTCCCATCTGGAAGACTCAGGCACCTACCTGTGTGCAGCAGAGGCACAGTGCCCCCAGGTCACCTGCAGGCTGAGCTCAAACTGCAGCTGGGCCCCTGCCACGGGGAAGACTGTGCAGCAGCATTTGTTCAGCTTTGAGCTTTCAGGTTCACACCTTAGCACTTACATTTCTGCTATAATTAGACATTTCTGGACTGTTGTTTCACTTTTTTTTGGTACCCTTTTCCTCCCAGAAACCCTTTGCAAGGAAAAAAACCCCTCTAATAATGGAATCATTGGAGGAACTGATAAAAATTTTAGGACCCAATTTATCACAATAGTTCCCCTGGCTGAGAACATACAATTTACTTAAATATATACTGATCAATAAATAAAAAAGAGGTAACCCTGTGTTTCAGTTAATTGCAGATGGTTCAATTTTCTAACAAAAGAGAAGCAAGCATGTAATTGACTTTGTACATGTATGTCCATACATACATTTATTACTTAAGTACTGACAGTACCGCCTCATTTTGCACAGGGATAGCTTGAGGATTATGGTGCCTAAAGTGAACTGCCTGAGCTCCAGTGATTACTGACCCAGGGAGCTGGGGTGGGATTCCCACCTAGGAAGTCTGACATCAGAGCTGGCACTCTGAGCTACCTGGATGGAGTAAAGGACTCTAGAATCACAAAAGGCAAATGATTTCTACCAGCAAATTTTTACAATGTACTTAGAGAAGTCACTGATAAAAATATTTTGGTAATTTCTAAACAGAATCTTGGAAGTCGGCAGGTGGCATGGTGGTTGGGACCTGGACTTCCACATGACCAACTGTTGTTCAAGTCCTGGCTCTGGCACCTTGCTCTCTCGCTTTCCCATTCTCTCTCTCTGGTCAAATGAAAATAATAGTAATAGCAAATAAAATTAAATAAATAAATAATTCTTAAAAAAATAGTACCTTGTAAGAATTAATTAACCTCTTTCTTTTCTTTCTTTTTTTTTTGAGAGATTTTTGCTATAGGGCGTGTGAGCTCGCCAGAAAGACAGAGACAGAGAGAAAGCGAGAAATCACTCCCCCCCCCAGGGGGGATGACCACACTGCAATCCCTTCTCCTCCATTCTCCTATCCGGATCTTGGGCAGGCATGCACACATGCCCGGTGTGAGTTTAAGCCACCGGATCCAGGACTCGAATAGTGGTTGACTACATGGGAGCCCATCATTATTCCAAATGCTAGTCCCCAGAATACTTTCAAAGAGACTTTTGTCTGTTGTAGCCACAGACTGAGACTTCTGATAACCAGATCTGAAGTTTAAACCTGAATGTGGATTAATTACAAAGCAAACTGAATTGCAAGTCAGCAGGGGCTTTTACGTTAATTTAAGGCATTGACTAGGAAGAAGAGAGACTCTGAAAATGAAGGTGAAGACAAATGGACAGACTCCCGTGAAACAGGGTGCGGGACCAGCTTTCTGGGCACAGTGGTTTGTACAGTTTTACAAGTCTCTCAGGAAGGGCCTAGGGCTTGGTTTGATGTTCTGCCATCACGGTCTTAAAATTCTCTGTAATTTGATCTTTGAATTTATGTTATGTAAGTGATGTCCAATAAGGGGACAGGGCATGTACATGAGCAGAGGAGATCACAGGTCAGCAGGACACAGGACAGAACATGAGGCTCAGGATCAAGGGCACTGCGGGCATTGTGTGAGCTGATGAGTGGGTTGGGCCATTCCTCTGAGTGCACGTGCATGCTTGGGGCTACCTGGTGCTCTGTAGAGCCTCAAAGTGGGTGGCAGTGATCTTGGTAAATTATTGCAAAATAAGATTATATCCATGGACATTGCAATAGAGCACAATATTGCAATTATTAGAAAAATATTGGAACCTTCAAAAGTTTAGAAACTTGATTTTGCAAATAGATGCAACTTGCAAAATGAATGTGTGCAGGCTTAGAAATAGAAATTAAATCTAAGATAGTAACTTGATGGGAAAGAACGTTTTTTTTCATGTCAAGTTGAGAATGAACAAATTAGTAGCATAAAAGATAATTCTAACATTAATTTTCCTTGTAACTGAAGAGATCATGTTATAATATATAAACAAACATTCTGAATTAAGTATGAATTGTGAAACCACTTTCATTTTCTTTTTACAAAAGTGTATTCATTTAGTTCTAACATGAGTGAGAAAGAGTTAGAGTGAAAAAGAGAAAAAAAAAAGAGAGAGCACCCAACAGGGTCCCGACACTGTAATCCATCCCCATCCAAGCCTGAGTCCGGCTCCTGTCATGGGCAAGCATGTGTTTAGTGAATTCAGGGAGGTCTTGAGACATGAACTGGGAACGTTCCCATGTGGGATTGCCTCGCAGTGTCACATTTTACCACTGCGTTGCCATCTACTTCCTCAGTTTCTTTTCTTTCCTTTTATTAAAGTTTATTTTCTTTTTTTCATATTAGAAAGTGCATGAGGGACTGGGATAGGCAGCCCTAGGAAGGTCTTATCACACTGTGACCCCTTCCTCCAGCTCTTCCAGCTAGTCAGGACTGGGGTACACGCACCTAGTGTGTTTCAGGTTGACTCTGGATCTGAACCTGCAGTCAGCCCCGTGGCTTCCAGCACTACAGGTCACTGCTACTTGTGCCATTGTGGTGAGGCCCTCCTCAGTGTTTTACATAACCTCCCAATGTTACAGAATGTCAGCGGAAACATTAAAATGCTGATATATAAATTTACACCTAAAATTAAATTTAGTTTTAAATAAAACTGATTTTTATGAAGAGTTGAATTGTTTTAGAAAAACTGTTCCCCTTGTGCTGTCCCTCTAGCCTAGTGGTAAAGAGAGCTGGATCCCATATGGCTGACTGTTGTTTGAATATTAGCAACAATGTCTTGAAAAACATGTCAGCAGTTATGCATGCATGCCCGAAATCTCAACAGGATGGAGAAATGGAAGAGAAGAGATTGCAGCATAACTGCATTTCATTGGGAGTGTTTTCTCCTCTTTCTCTCTTTCTCTAATAAAAACATTGAGAACACTTGCCCCACTAGAAATATCAATCCTAGACTTCTAAAGTTTATATTTAAAACTAATTTATCAGGTATTTGTATCTGATAATGTTAAAATACATAAAATACTCTTAGAAACTCCAATATCAGTTGCATCAGCAAACATAGCCTTCTAAAAATTAGAAATGGAAAATTTTGTTGGCAATTTTACATTCACCATGAGCAACTGACATCATTTTCAATTACAGTGTTTGAAGATGAAGTTGCTAAAAGTATAAATGTTGAAACCCTAATTAAGTTGGAGAAAAATGAGACAGAGAGATCTTATGATTAATCAAGCTATCACATTAATAAAGTAGTATTATCACCAAAATGTTTTTTCCAGTTTGTAAGTTTGTGTTCTTGCTTATATATAATTCTATATCATTATAAGCAACACTCTGTGTTCTATACATAATAAAATGCCTTTTAAGAATAGTTTTGTACCTGATGATACCTCTTTCCTGCTTTTTTTTTTTTTTTGAGAGATTTTCACTGTAGGGCGCGTGCACTCGCCAGACAGACAGAGAGAGACATAGAGACAGAAAGCGAGAAATCACCCCCCAGGGGGGATGGTCACGCTGCAATCTCTTCTCCTCCATTTTCCTCTCGGGATCTTGGGCACGCACGCACACGTGAGTTTTAAGCCACTGGGTCCGGGACACGAACCGCGGTCGACTACGTGGGAGTCCAGCGACATAGCCATTACGCTAACTGCTGGTTCCCCCTCTTTCCTGCTTTTTGAACAAAGAACCCAGAGTTTCATTTTCCAGTGGGTCCCCTGCAATCAGGCTATTTGAAAAAATGCTCTCAGCTTTACATACTACTAAACTACTCCATTTCGAGGTTTTCCAAGTTGACACAGTGGTTTTTTGTTGTTTCTTTTTCTTCTTACAACAAAGATAGGAGATGCTACAGATTTACATTTAAGAAATGGATCTCAGAAGGAAGAGTATTTTTACCCATGGCTCAGTCATGGAGTTCACCCCTATATAACCTATGACAATATAGTGAGTGAAGTCCAATTTTATTAATTTTACTCCAAATTTAGACTCTACTAAACCTATCAACCTTACTGGTAATACAGGAGGAATGAAAACCCAAAGAGAAATCCATTCCAAGGATTCAGTCTCTGCTTCTGGTTTGGATTTGGACAGGGATAATCCCTGAAAAACTAGATAGCATGTGGAATGGTCATGAAGGGGCAGCGTGTGAGACAATGTGCACTTAAAACACTGAGTGGTCCTTTCTTGCTCTGGTCTTTGGCTCACATGTTCCTTGTAGAAAGAGTTTTTCTCTGCAGTAGATAAAATCACGGTGGTAGATTTCATTTTTAAAAAGGTATAATATTTTCTTTGTTTAGGAGAGTGAATGAATCATGGTGCTTTCTTGATTTCAAACATGTAACCTCAAACCATTGTTGGATAAACACCAATAGTGTCTATTTCTTTCCAGTTTTTCAAAAAATGACTTAATAGTGTGCATAAATACAAATCTTAATAATTACATTCTTACTGTGCATTTAACCTCGGATCTAACATTTAATTTGTTGGTCCTATTGCAACTCTTATGCACCTGAGTCCTCCATGGCTGAGAGCAAAACATTTACCAGCAAGTCAGTAGTTAGGGATGTGACCACAGGATGGTGACATGCTATTGCTAATGCAGAATGTGTGGAGGGTAGGTGGGTGGATTCTGAATGAATAGGTTTACAGTAGAAGCAGAACCTTTTCCTTATTGGCTAGGTCCTCAGGGTGAGAAACCACTAAGATTGTTAGAGAAAAAAAGGGGTGATCTGATAGTAGACATCGCCCCCCAGTCTGGAGGTTGCAGATCTACGACTGATCCTAACTTGGAAGAGCAATGAAGAAATCCATTCAAGCTGTATTCATGTTCTTGTGGCTGCCGCTGGACTGTGAGTTGAGGGTTTGGGAAATCAGTGTATATTTTCATGACTGTTCTTTAGCAGTGTGGGGAGGAGAGTGGCTTTATTCAGATTTCCTCTAGTTACTGCAGAAAAAGAAAATTCTGGAGAGTACTGACTTGGCAACTCTTGACCCGTCTCTGACTTTTTCTTCCCACCTAGGGGTGAGCCGTGGAGAAAATGTGGAGCAGCGTCCTTCTACTCTGCGTGTCCTGGAGGGAGACAGCTCTGTCATCAACTGTTCTTATTCTGACAGTGCCTCAGACTACTTCCCCTGGTATAAGCAAGAACCTGGAAAAGGTCCCCAGCTCATTATAGATATTCGTGCAAATAAGGACAAAAACCACGACCAAAGACTCACTGTTTTTTTAGATAAGGCAAAGAAACACTTCTCCCTGCACATCGCGGCCACCCAACCTGGAGACTCAGCCATTTACTTCTGCGCAGCAAGGGCACAGTGCTTCCCGGGCACCTGCTGCCTGCACCCAAACCCAAGGCTGCAACTGAAGCCCCACCCCTTCCCTCTGTACAGGTCTTCAAATGCAGCATTTGTCATAGTGTTTCTTTGCAAGTTGGAAACTAACATATGGGTAATAAAAGCATATAATAAAATGGTTAGAACCAAGATGATCAGAAAGGGTTAGAACATTTTGTTTGCTGATTGTTGCTTAACAGATTACTTTTTATTGTGTATATTTAGGGTGAACAGCATAATGTTTTGATACACATGTACAAATTTCACAAACCAAAAAATCGACAGCTGGATGAGCAGGCTATGAGGAAGGAGGCAGGGAGCTTCCACACTGTCTCCAGGGATGCTACCGTCAGGCATCGGCATGTGTTGAAGCTGCACTGAATGAATTCTTACAGGGCATTAGTGAGGCTTTACTTTGAAATTCAGGCTTTACAGATGACTTTACATTTGCTATTCAGACTCCTTTCCTATGAATAATCCCTTAGTATCAATATCACTACCCCTGTACCAGGCTTTTAAAAACTGCAATTTTGGAGCCAGCAGATCCACTGTAGGTTGCTTTAGGTAGAATTAACAAATTAATAATATTAAGTATCCAATCCATGAACATAGGATTTCCATTTATTTATGCCCTTTTTTTCAGTGATATTTTATAGTTTATAATACAAGAGACTTTCATCTACTTATGAAGTTTATTTCTAAATATTTTCCTCTTGTACATGGCCTTCCTGAAATACACAGCAGGAGGAGAGTACCTGCTGATTCCTCAGACTAGGACTGGGTTGCAGCTGCAATGGCTTCCCCTTCATGTGATTTTCAGCCTTAGAGGTCACCCTTTTTAATCTTGCCAGTGGCATTAGCCTCTTTGGCTTCAGGTTTTTTCTTTTTAGTATCAGGCTTCCTAGCTTATTCACCTGCCATCTTGAAAATGGGAAAAAGAATTAAGGTCTCCACTTCTGGTGTAAAGGCAATCACTGGGGGAGTCCAGCCACAGCTTTCATTTTTTAATGTTTACCCTTTCTTAGTTCTAACTCTTATGATTTTATTTTTTTAGAGGCCCCTTGCTTGGTCTTATGAATTGCTTAGGTTAGTAACTACTCCTACAAATACATCATTTCTGTACATAGAAAAAGCAACTGCCAATAGTTAAAATGGGTGTACAAAAAGGTCCCTCGTTTTTGGTTATGTATAACAGATTGAATTTATATGTTTACCTCTGCTCCCTCTAAATTCCTAAAACAAACAAAAGAAAACTAAAGATATTTAAAAAGGCAAAATTCTATGAGCACAAAGAGAATAGAAAAGGAGAAGACAGCAGATACAATTTCAGCAATATCTGAAAAGGTGAAAAAGAAAAGCAAAGAAGATAACAGACTGAGAAAGCTTAAAAATGTGACATCAGGGACCAGCAGTTAGTGTAATGGCTATGTCGCTGGACTCCCACATAGTCGACCGCAGTTCACGTCCCGGACCCGGTGGCTTGAGACTCACGCCGGGTGCGTGTGTGTGCCCAAGAATGGAGGAGAAGGGATTGCGGGGTGGCCATCCTCCCTGGGGGGTGATTTCTCGCTTTCTGTCTCTATATCTCTCTCTGTCTGTCTGGCGAGCGCATGCGCCCTATAGCAAAAAAATCTTTCCAAAAAAAAAAAAAAAAAAGTGACATCAAAGCCTGCAGAACAGGAATCAGTTCCAGAAAGGCACAGAATTTGGAAGCCATAATTACCTTTAAGTACTGGGAGAAGATAATGCTGTGGAAGGACTAAGCAAGATAACTCCTCGAAGCCCTTAAATAGTACTAGCGCTCCAAGTTCTCCATCACCTTGGAGAACAGCAACTCACACTCACGAAATACAAAAAGAGATGAAAGGTTTCTTTCTGGAAATTGCTCTGGTACTGGGGGAATCAAGTAAATCTGAATTTGGGGGTGAAGTGTCAAGTTGAAGATGAGAGATACACAGTTTCTGAGTTCTGAATTTGAGACGTTCAGCACCTTTTATATTCAGCATTTGTTTGGATTTTTACTAAAAGCTAACATGGCCAGAGAGTTACTAGAGAATTCTCCTTGAAAATAGGCACCCTAAGTGACTTTCTTTAGCCTACATAAACTTCAATGAGCTTTTTTTTTTTTTCATTCTCTCTCTTTTAAATTTGCTATATTGTATGTGTACTCTTGGACAGAGAGCAAGAGAAAGAGAGAGAGAGAGAGAGGATTTGAAAGCATACCTCAGGGGTAGCCTTACTACATTCCCTTCTCCTCCATTCTCTAAGTAGTTTTGGGCGGACACACACATATGCCAAGCATGTTTCTCAAGATGCTGGGTCCAAGACTTGACAGTCGGCCTTGTGGAATCCAGCTGCCTTAATCAACATGCCACTAGCTGGCCCTTCCTCAATAGGTGGTCAGTTAAGTCTCTAACAGGAACAACAAAGAGAAACAAAATGCAATGAAACCGAATAATTATGCAAACAAGGCTCAAAAGATAGGCAATGAAAACGGATCATGGCAACTAGCAAAAGAAAAGAAAACTAAAGTGAAACTAAAATAAAGTAAAAACATGGAGGAACCAGAGCACCAGAGGGGCCATGAAAATAGACTATTCTTTGAAAAACTAGAGTTTCTATTATTTTTTAGGATATTAAAAATATGATAGCAAACAAAAAGGAGAAGAGGATGAGAATAAATTCAATAGGAAAATCTTCCAGAACCTAGAATAAAAAATAAAATGGAATGAAATCATTAAATTGAGGAAATCCAATATGTACATAATAGATGTTTGAGGTGAAGATAACATACAAAATGGAGGGACAGATTATTGATAAATTATTCAAGATAATTTTTCGGGACCAGCAGTTGGAGTAATGGCTGTGTTGCTGGACTCCCAGGTAGTTGACCATGTCGAGTCCTGGACCTGGGGACTTAAACTCATGCTGGGCGCATGTGTGTGCATGCCCAAGATCCTGAGAGAAAAATGGAGGAGAAGGGATTGGAGCATGGCCATCTCCCCTGGGAATGATTTCTTGCTTTCTGTCTCTCTGTCTCTGTCTGTCTTTCTGGTGAGCACACACACCCTATAGCGAAAACCTCTCCAAAAAAAAAAAAAAAAGATAAATTTTCAGAGATGAGTTATATGTGCTTCTATGCCGGAAGCCCTGCTCTAGCCAGGGTGGGTTGAGACTCATACACAGGAAGGTGACACGGGTGATCAGGAACAAAAATTAGACTGAGACCTCAATATTCTTTAGCATGTTCTCAGCCGGCTACAGCCAGAGCAATCTCAGGACCACAGTGCTAGCGGCTAGCAAACACACGTATTCATTGAGGGATGTCTTACAGGAGTAGAAGGGGTGAGGGGGGAGTAAACGATTTACTCTACAAAAAGGGGAATTCAAGGCACAGGAACAATGATCATAAAACATGATGTCTGTCTTGTTTGATTAGGTAAAATCAATCACAGTTCTCAGGATGAGGAAGTCCATTTGTCTGTTGCATTTTCTTCTTAGATCTTGATTACCGGGAAGGGTCTTTCGAAGACGGGGCTTGTAGGAAGCTTGATAACTTCAGTCCCGGGCCAGGGTGGCAACATTGCTAGTTACAAAGGCCTAGATAGAAATCTTGTCTTAAGTAAAGACACAGTTAATATATGGAATATCTATATTACAGCTAAAGGGGGTGAACCTATTGGCCATATGGGGAAGGAAGGTGATTTTGTAGCTCAGGAGACAACACAGGATGTTTTATTAGCAGTTTTTCATAGTTAACAGCACACAGATGAGAAACTCTTTGTAGTTAAAAACTATCTGTTGCTTACTCGAACCAGATAAGAACTTACAGCAAAAATAGTTACTCTTCCCCCTGGAGCCTTCAGGTTTGTTTATCCTGTTGTTGCTAGCCAGATCTGTCCTTCCTCTGTTAACCCAAGGGTCCCTGTATTTATTTGCTGAATTCTTTGTCTGTTAATCAGTGAATTCTTGTGCTTTATCTTTAAGTCCCTGTCATGGCAGTGGATATGCTAACTTGGCCTAACATAAGTTAACTTTGGCCTGCAGCTTTAACAAGGGGTATTTACGTAAAATTAGCCTTAAACTAACTTAGTCTACATATGTTACTAACGCTAATTTGTCTTATACTAATTTAACCTAACATATGTTAATTTTGGCTTAAAACGGGCAAGTGGGGCAGTCTCAAACTTCCTGGTCCTGCAGGCCATCTTAGAAAACCACATTCCTACAGGATCACTAATTGGCTTTATTGTAAAGTTGCAGTAAGGTTAGGGGTGATATTTTACCCTTGCAGAGTACTGTAATAACAGTAAAGCTCACAGCAGAAAAATTGAGTGCAGGCCAGTACAGCGACACAATGGAGGGCTCGTATACCACTGGCCTTGCCTCGCAGTTTCTTCCCAGTCTAGGCCTTGCCTTAGGCATGGGAGTCAGCCTCTTTACCAGCTTGTGTTGTCTGCATGGCCCCATCACTTCCAGATAGGAAGGTTATATCAAGTGCTCATAACAACATATCATTATAAAATTTTAGTGCATCAGAGTGGGGAAACATTCCCTAAACGTGATTAAATAAAAAAAAAAAAGAAACTCATGTTATTGCTTTTCTCTAGAGAAGAGCAGAATACTAGGGAACTATAAAGCAATATTTCCAAAGGAAAAAGAAAATACTAACTAATAATGGATTATCTTATCTGCTTGTCTATCTTGAGAAGAACTTTTCATTGTTTTAGTTTGGAAGTGGATGAAGGATACACATATACAAAGTAAGAAAGACAAAAATGAAGTGAAATAAAAAAGAGATAATTATTTAGTCTAGATAAATTTGAAAAATATAAAAGTCAATGAAATTGCACTTGAAGTAAGTTTTACCCATCTACTTTACCTTGAAACGATGAATAAACAAAAGTACTTGTTCTCCCAAATTTTATATTTAAACAGATTTTTCAACTGTTGCTTATTTGTTATTTATTTGTTTATTTTTAATTAAAAGAGTCGGGCCAGTAGGTGGCTTGGAGGTTAAGGTGCTGTTTGATCTCACATGGCTGGTAAACAGCTGGAGTTCCAGCCCTGTGGCTTGAAAATGATGCCAGACACAAATGCCTACATGTCAAAAACCCAAAAGGAGAATACAGTGTGGCCAGCTCCCTGGGGGGGAGGGGGAAGTGATTTCTTGCTTTCCATTTCTCACTCACTCTGTCTCTCTCTCTGTATGCACTTTACAGCAAAAACTAAACCAAAAAAAAAATGAATTGACCTGCTGTTTTGAATATATAATCAGCCTACAAAAATAAGTTTATTTTAAAAGGTAAAATTCTATAAAAAATACAATGTATATATGCACATTAAAACAAAATTTAAAAACCTTACTTATTGTTTAATGCATCGATATGAAGCATAAATTACTCTTGGTACAAATTTACATTCTTTAATCAACTCCTGATTCCATGTGGCTGTACTGGTACAAATTTACATTCTTTAATCAACTCCTTTAATCACAACTTCCATGTGGCTGTATCTGTCACTGATATTTTCTGAAGAATATATGTTTTTACCAAAATGCTCTTGTTTTTAATTTTTTGGAAATACTGACTGAAACCTTGTCCAAAGTTGTATTATAAATTGGATTTAATGTCTAATAAATTTGAAATTATGATCACCTTCAATTGACTCTTCCTTTATACCATAGCATCTTAAATTGAGTTAATATTTGATAGGTACTTAGATACCTGCTAAGATCAAATTCTGGTAATGGAGAATATTCTTATTTTCTTGTGTGTGTGTGTGTGTGTGTGTGTGTACGCTTAAAGTGAATATTTCAGCCTCTAAATTTTTACACTCATGACATTTTTTGACTAGTATTTGTTAAGGCAGTTGCATTCCAAATATATAACTAGCTATTACCATGTAATAATAAAAAGACAAATAACATAATAAAAAAGTAGGCAAAGGGTGTGAATAGATGGTTCTCGAGGCTGGGGGCTCCCGCCCCTGCTGTGCAGCCGCAAGCCGGGATCGGCCTTGCCCCCCCCCCCCCCCCACGCCTGGATGGCCCGGGGGCCGAAACC